AAAAAAACTATGATGCACAATACAATTTTTTTAAATCAATTCCATCAGACCCTTGATATGTGGACTTCATGCTTATTATAAATTGAGAGTCTAGGCCAGGGGTAGTCAATTATTATTATTATTATTATTTTTTGTCAAGGTCCAGATTTCTTGGTCAACGTATAGTCAAGGTCCAGACTCCAGAGAAGAAGATGATGATGATAAATACATTTTTTTTGAGGGGGGGGTCCATTCAAAAGCGTCTGGCAGTCTGGATTTGGCCGTCGTTCCACCTATTGATATCCCTGGTCTAGGCCTTCACTATTTTGTGGCTCTTCCATCAGGATATCTTATTTTTTAACTTGATCTGTTTCTTTTAATGTATGTACGCGGCAACTGAAAAGAAGTGCCTATTGATTGCTCTAGGTGCCTGACTGTGCCTTAAGAATGGAGAGCTCCTAAATCACCCTTCAGTCATTAACATAACAACCATATTTTCCCATTCCCTCCCAGCTGGATAAAACAGCTGACTCTTTTTGGGGGCATCTTTGGACCCTGGTTCATTGCTTGTCCAACAGCCCAATTGTTTTTCTTACTCCTCGCTCTCCCTCTTGAGGAAGCACACGGTTATTTCTGCTTTGTCCTGGGCTGGTCTCCGGGTTCATCCTTTTTAACTTGTGTTCTTTAAATAGCCCCAAGTGTATGAACACTTGGAGCAAATGCAGCCAAATGGAAGTCTCTGAGAGACATTTGGCAGTGACTGATGGGGTGAAGTTACATGCTGGATGTAAGTTGGTTAGAAAATGAACATAAGCAGCAAAGTAACAGAACTTGTACCCTTCTGGCATTTAATGCGCCAGAGTCTCTGCTGGCGTAACTCCGCTTATGTCAAATGGAGTTATTCCAGCAGCAGATTTGGCCCTAATTGTGCAAAATGAGTGTAACCTCGTTTCATGTAGGCGGTGGGAGAAGGGTGATTGGCAGGGTATTTGTAGCAGGAAAATTAAGTACCAGGATCCTATACTGTAAATTAAAGAGGCCCGCTTCACGTTGTTTTATACTATCTCTAATACCCCTAGGCCCAAATTTCTGTCTATGGCACTTGTTTTGCACACCTGCTGAATGCCAGATCACTGCAGGTTATGCCCTTCTGCCTCTTTCACCTGTCTTCTGACTAGCTTACACCGCTGTTTACAAACCAGTGAATTTGACCCTCAAATACTGCATGTGGCTGCTGTGTGAAGTGTTGTTCAGGCGAATGTTTTAATGTATTTATGAGTATTTAGAGCTCCATTTCCACACCTTTTATGGTGAGTTGAACTGAAGAAGAGTTACACCTTGGCCAGTCCCTGGTATAAAGAAGGTCCTCAGTGGCCCTAAACTAGGGTGACCACCTATCCCAAATTGGGCAGGACAGTCCCAAAATGCAGAATTCCAGTCCCGGTCCTGGGCTGAATAACTCCGGGACAGCAGTTGTCCTGGATTCCCTGCAGCGCCGCCCTATGCCTGCCCCAGTCTCTTCCGGGGAGGGCTGATGTGGGCAGGTGGGGGGGTCTGGGCTCCCCACAGCATCCCAGGCTCCCTGGGCAGTGCAGCTCTTATCATGGCCCAGCTTTGGCTTCCGGCTGGGCCAGAGGGCAGAGCCTCGGCAGGGAAGAGGAGGGGTAGGGGGCGGGGCTCCTGCACGTGTCCCGTATTCACCTTTTGAAAAAGCGGTCGCCCTTTCCTAAACCAGCAATCTGAACTCTTTAGGGTGGGTTTAAAAATTCGACTTGGCCCAAAGGCCAGAATTACACATGCATGTCTAAGAGTAGGCAGCTAGCCCACATCATCATTCAGAACTGACGGGGCAAATTTCAGCTGGCTGTTAAACCCTTTTGTCCTGTGTCTGCCAAGTGTTAATCATACTTTGTGTAACTGCTGATAATGAGGTAAACCTAGCCATAGAGGCAAGTCAACTGTTTTAAGCACGGGTACGCAGGGACCCATTCCTGACATCAGTTCAGTTTCCCAGTTGTTTGCATGTGAGTGTGATATTGCCTCTTTTTTGGGACCCTGTTGAAACAAACGGTATCTGTCTGCTATATCCAGGGTCGGGCAGCGGGCGGGAGAAGACAAGAGCATGTTTGTCATACGGGAGAAAGTCCTGGTTCAGGTGCCCCGATGGTTTGTTTAAAAGGAGCAGAACGGATTGTAAAATCAAGCTCATTTAAGTGAAGGTTTCATTAGAATTAACTATCCAAGCATACGGTGCCATATTTGTACGTACCGTCTGGATGCGATTATTTACTCTTTTAATAGGATTGTCCCTTAGCAGACTTTTGTGTTAATACTTGCACCCATGTGGTCCTTCAGATCTGACATGTCACGCCGATGTAATTAGGCTTGCGCAGATGTTGACTAATGTTGTATCTTCTGCTGGAAGCACTAAACGCACACAGGACAGCTGAAGTATGAGGGTTTTTTTTTAAATGCTTTTTGCAGGAGATGGTGACAGTATTGAACATTCTGGGAAATGTTGAAGTCCATAAACAAAAGGTTAAACTTGTCAGTACCAGAATAAATCATTAATGTCTGTAATAGTTTTCTTCTTCCGTCTGTCTGAGAGCATTTATGATGATGAGCTAAGCAGTTAAACCCAAGCATTCAGATTCATTACGGTTCTCACACTTGGACTTAATCTATGTTTTCCCTTTCTTTTTTTTAGAAAGTCCACCGGCAGCGATGTCCAGAAATGGGTATTTTTTTGAAGAGACTGGCAAGTATAATTTTATTTCTTTTCTCCTCATTTGTTGCATGTTATATTGCATATAAAAGAACCTACCACAGTGACCTAGCTGTATCACTGGAAAAATAACTATCGGTAGGTTGATTTTGAAAATCCTCTGCAACAGATGGTGTATCAAATCCATTTCACTTATAACCTAAACTGGGTTTGAACCCAGGTTTGTACAGGTGAAAGGAATGTTGCATAATTCTAGTGCTACAAATAGTCTGTACAATCAAGTCCCATAGATGCTAATGCCTTACTGCTTTGAATAGCCGTATCTTCAGATTTTCGGTGCATGTCCCAGTCTTGGGTGGTTCCTTGTCTTGTTCTGTTTCAGGGTGTTCTTCTCCCACTTGATATGCCAGATACAGCATGGTCAGTATCCAGGGGTCACTCTTGCTATAGGCAAACTAGGCAGCTCCCTAGGGTGGTAGACTTCTGGGACAGCAGACTTCACCCATCTAGCACAGCTGAGAGCTTGCTGTATGTTGTGACCGCCCCCCCACCCCACAGCCGTCCAGCTCTCTGGGGCTACCACCTCCCATTGTAGGGCCTCTCAGGCTGGGGCCAGGCTCCCTTGGGAGAAGATACGGGGGCTTTGCCCCCTATCTGGGCAGTCTTATAGCAGCTGAGGCCTGGAGCGACTGGTGCCCTGCTCAGAGAAACCAGCACTAGCTCAGAGCTAGCTGAGAGGCCTGAATGCGCCTGCTGTTTCCACACCAGATGAGCTTTCCACCCTGGGTCCCTCCATCGGTAGTGGCGGCAGCAATGGATGCGGCTGGCAGGGCTGCCCAGCAGAGCTCGGTGGCCACAAGCCGGGGCTCTGAGGAGCAGGAAGTGGCCCCCAGCCAGGCTGGTGGGGAAGCACTCCTACCCCCTCCCCAGATGCTCCCCACCACCAGGGCAGGTAAGATGGCGGTCGCAGCTCAGGGGCTGTGTGGCTCGGAGTTGCTCTTGGTAGCACCACGAGAGCTTGTTGGGGCTTCAGCCTCAAGCATAGGGACCTGCCCAGCTTTGTGTCAGTATCCAGCCCCCACCTGCTGTCCCTCACCCCTCCCCGGTGGGCCCTGCTGCCCCCCGGACTCTCCTTGCAGCCGCTGCTTCAATTCCATCATGTCTGGGCTCTCGAGGTGCTGCCCCCACACGGGCTAGGAGCCCCTCTGGAAAGATGCAGGGAAGGGTGGAGGGTGGGGGAGGGATGCTGAGGGCTAGGTGGAGGGTACAGGCTGGCATGAGCTGTGGATACAGAATGCATAGGGCTGGATGTGGGACTGGAGATGTGGGGCTGTGCTGGGGGCTCCTGGGTACAGCGATCCCCCCCCGCCCATTCTGCCAATGGGAAGGAGCCCATCACCCCCTCTGCAAGGGGGATGAGTGCCCCCAGCCTGAGTGGCTTTGTGGGGTCCCTATGGGTGGGAGCTGTTACCTGCCAGTGTGTGGGTCCCTTTGTGGTTGAACTGAGCATCTCCTGAGGTACTGAGCTGGGGCCTGCTCCTCTCTTGAGCCCCAGGCAGCTGGTGCCAACCTGCCTGGAAAGGGCCATTGGGAAAACTGGCCCTGGCTGGGAGCATTGGCCACACTGGGAGCGGGCCTCAGCCTCTTGCAGGCCCTAGAGCAGAACCTGGGGGACTTTTATCCTGGCCTGGCCAAGCTCAGCCCGCCCGGGTGTTGCTGTTCCCACCCTGCAGGATCTGTGACTGGGGCCCAAGGGCCTCTGCAGGCCCAGGCCCAGGCCTGCCCCATCAGCCTCCATCCCAACTGCATGGGCTCAGGGGTGTGGGTGGTAGCAGCGGGGGAGGCAGAGGTGAGCGTTTCACCTCACGGAAGGAAAAGGAAGAGAACCTTCCCTGGTGCCAGCAGTACGTCCCCTTTCAGGCCATTCAGCTTCCAGCAGTGGCAACAGATGCCAAGGGCCATTAGTCTCTTTCTCCAGATGCCCAAAACAGAGCCTTTTCTGGGATTTTGTTAAAACTCCAGAGCTTTTTAGCAATCTTCAAGAGCTGGAGGCAGGCTCCCAGCATTTTGTTCTCCGGATGGCCCATGGTCCCCTTGAGTACACTGTGTCCTGACTGTTCTTTTTGCACTATACTGTTAACTAGTCTCCTCCATCCATAGGGGATACTTCCCAGCTCTAAGAAACCCAAGGACTTGACCTAATCATGCAGTCTCTTCTTTCCCATTGTTAGGTTTCTCTGGTTTTGATTGTAGGTGGTTCTTTTAATATAATACTCTTATTATATTGCATCCAGGCTGATTATAATTGTAAAGGTGGTGGATTTTTTTGTTACTTTGCCCTTAAACCTCCTGTCAGTCGTTTTCCTCCTCCTAGCCGTACAGTTATAAAATCTGACCTTTTTTAAAAGTTCACTTTTGCTGCTAATCCTAGATGAATCACATTCTTATCTGCGCTAATTGTAATGTGATCACAGTGAACCTCCTGCACAGAATTTAGGAATAATAATCATCATAGCACTTATCTAGAGTTTTACAAGAATTAATCCTTGTATCACCTGGTGTGTGAACCCTTATGCTTAACAATCTAACCTTTTATTGCCCACTTCATTTTAAGTGGTCTCTAACAGCATGTGTGAACCCCTTATGCTTAACAATCTGACCTACCTTCTATTTAGCTTATGCGCTTGTGTTCCTGTCCCCAGGCCTGAGGAACAGCTCTGTGAAGCTCAAAAACTTGTCCCTTCCACCAGCTGAAGTTGGTCCAATTACAGATATTACTTCACCTTACCATGTCTCTTCTCATCACCCTGTGAGGGAGGAAAGATTTGTTAGCCGCCTTTCATGTTTGGGGAAACAGGTGTACAGAAGTTAAATGACTTGCCCAGAAACTCAGGCGCAGTCTGAACTACAACTCAATTTAGAGGAAGCCATATTGAAATTCCTTAGCCCACTTCCGCCCTCTAAAGTGAGTCACCTTTCCATTTAATATAAATGGCTTTGTAAAGCAGGCTTATCATTTAACTTGCTTCTCCAAACCATGCCCCAATGTGTCACTCGACCAGCTAATACTGAGATCGCTAAAGTTGCCCATTGTTGTTGTACCAGCAACTTCCTTTACTTCTTTCAATACATTAAGGACCTTTTTGTTGCGCTGTGCTGGAGCAGTACTTCGGCATTCGTGTTTTTTGTTACTTAGATTTCATAACCATGAGCTGGAACACAAATTGTTATCTCCATCCTGGAATGATCTGTTGATAGTATCTCTAGGTATAATTGCAGTCTTTTCCTTCCCCGTTCCCAAGCCCTTCAACATTGTCTTTTAATTAGGGATAACAGTATCTCATTGGCTTATGGTTTATCTCACCTCATCTTTAAGATACTGATCTGACAAATTGATACTCCCTCTTGCCAAGCCAAATATTTCTGCTCTTCCCTTCTAGGTTTTAATTTTTTTAAAAAATGAAAACATTGATATGCTTTATTTCTAGCAGTACAGCAACTGTTTTTAACTCCATTGAGTTGAAAGCGTAATTTTGCTTGGATCGATGCTTGGATCTATAGGCCTTTACCACGGGAAGAGTAATATTTTCTAACAGATTCTTCCCTTGAGTCTTTAATATTCCCAACTCCCAATAATTTCTCCAACGCCTTTTATCACTTTTATAGCCATCTGCTCCTGTCTAGTACTTTTGAACCCATCCTTCATGCACACATTGAGATTTGTACATTCTGTGGTCCTGCATGTTGACTGGGAGAAGTTCAAAGAAAACTACCGCCGAGACCTGGGAATAAGTATCGTTGGGGTGTGTGCGTAAGAAACAAGGATAAAATATTCTTCAAAAGTTTTAACGAGTAGCTTTGCAGAGTCAAGAGCAAGCTGGCAAAATGAGAAATAAATTCCAGTTTTCTCAAAGTACAGTATGCTGGTATTTAGCAGTAACATTGTGTTTTGACTTGTATACCAAACCGAGCAGATTTAAGGGACATTAATAAAAATCTCTCTCTTCCTTGCTGGTAAAATACTTAAATAACTAACTAAATAAATTTATCACTGCTGTTGCATTGCCTTTTTTCTTTTCCTTTCCTTTTTTTTGCCATAGGCATCAGTGTTTTTTTTTGTTTTTGTTTTGTTTTGTTCTAATCTGGCAAATAGCAACAGTGTTTGATACAGATTGTATGTTTGAGTTGACCAGTTGGTATCCTGAATGAGATTTCATGACAATTAGAGTCCTTCCTGGCAATTTTAAATGTCTGTTCGAGTGATTGTAAAGACTAAGTCCAAATCTGAAGATAATTAGAATCTTGATGAAATGCAGCTCTGCAAGCAGTGTTCAGAATAACTCATTAAGCCAGTTGTCTTTTTTCCTAGCGGAACCTTCTAGTTCTGCTCGTTGCTAAAAGAGGTACAGATACCTAAACTTTCACTGTAAGCGGATTAGCTTTAACACAATTATATTCTACTAATGCTAATTCTATTTGCCAACATAATTAACTTTTTTAAATGATCAGGCAACATGTGCTGGTACTGCATCTTCATTTTATCTGAAGAGAATCTTGTTTTAATTGTGAGGGGTTATAAATCCTGAAAGAAGGAACCCTAACGTTCTATGGAATAACTGAAACTTTGCGTTGTTTTAAAGCTGGGTCAGCAAGTACTACGACACAACTTTCACCTTCCAGAGTGAATCTTATTGTTTGCTCTGCATGATTTATTAATTGGTTTTGCTGGCACAATAAATTGCAATTCTGCTGGAGGGACTTGTCTGGCTGGGGAATCTTTGGACATATTTTATCTATTTGTTGTTGTGTTTTCGGTTTTGTATTTAAGTTTGGAATGTGTGTCATGGTTTTGCTTTTTTTAAAAAAAATTAGTTTTATCTAACCATGAAATTCATCTAAACGCCATACTGAAATGAATCCTTTCACAATGGGAATTGGATTTTCCGGGTACAACGTCTGTTTGCTAGCCGCGAATGCACCACAACTGCTGATGACAAGCCAGAAATCCGCTTGCGTGTCTTGCTACAGATTTT